AGAAAAAAAAATGAACCTGCCAGATTCAACCAGAATAAGGTCCTACACATTGTATGTCAGAAGTATTTACAATTCCATTACTGTATAAACCATACACACAGCTTTTAAAACTTCAGGGAATAAGTGTCATTCTATCTGTATTCAGATTTAGCACATCCTGTAAATAATTCAAAAATGAAGTTGAGCAAATGTCATTAAATAGTTTAATATCAGAATATTTAGATTCCCTGGGAAGCGAGGCTTACACTGTCAGTCCTTCCCATTCTTCTGCTGTAACCTCTCCCCCCGTAACTTTTGSTTTGTTGAGTAACTTCAGTCAATTTTGAGGGGGGAAAAAAAGAAGATAATTGGGTTTATAAATTTGCTGGAACAAATTCTTAACACTGGACACAAACTAGATGTCCATGGGAGCACTTCAAGGACTTACAGCAGAAGGCAGAAGAGCATCTCTAGGATACAAAATGAAAGTCAACTGAACTCTGGTTCCTGCTACAGGAAAASGGGATAGCTTGTGTTTGAACACAGAAAAGCCTCTCTCTCTGACACCCCGCCAAGGGATCATTTCCAATGGGCTAAATTTGGTCACAATATGCTAAACTCCAACACAGAAATATCAGGCAAACAAGGGCAACTGAAATAATTACTTGCACTTATTTTTCTACTGAGACAAAATCATATTTAGCACAAACATAATACTTTTAACACCCACTCTGAAGCTCTGCCKTAAGTTTAGTTGGCTTTTTTTCCCCCTTAAAGTTTTACTTTTACTTACCAAAAACCAGCGCTAATCCATGGGACGTCCCCACTGCTATCAGATTTGATGCTGCCTTAAAAAGACAYGCAGAAAGATTCAAAGTTTAGAAACAGCCGTCCCAAATCAACCATTTAAATTCTCTAATTCCTTCACCCAAAGTTTGCCAGAAATGAAAGATTTAGAAGGTTATAGATGTAATCAACTGCACCCAGAAGCCAGATATTTCATGCCGTTTCCCCCATCTTTCTTAAGTAAGAATTTTTAGCGTGGACAAGAAGAAAGATGTATTTATTGTTTAAATTATTGTCAAATATTTAAAATATTGTCAAATTATTGTTTAAACAGGTTTAAACATACTTATATGAAGACTAACTACGAAATATTTGGAAATTGCCTGAATACTCACTATTGCAGTAGGCAAGCCAGCATCCACCTTGTCCTAGAGAGAAAAGACAAGCAATGAGTAAAAGAAAAGAAGCAAAGCCAGGTAATACTCAATTCACTGTAGGTTAGATACTAGTAGTAGTAGGTTATGCACTGAACCTGCTAGTATTAACCAGAACTAGTAGCAGAGGAAAGAGATCACACACAGCCCTCTGCACCAGAGCACATTACCTTTTCATTTAATGATATTTAATGGACATGGGGAAAGAGACTTACTGCTGCAGACACTATCTGGGCAGAAATTCCTTTCAGAAGTGAGAGGCGAATAACTGATCCATGGAGAGACAGAGAATCTGGCAGTTTTTTCTTTCTAAGGAAAGAAGAAAAAACAGACACATTACAGTGGACTAGAAGTTCAGAACCTTGCTTAAACCACAGCTTAAGCAGAAGGTAAATTCTCCATGCACCAATAGTACCTACACAGCTTTCACCAGAGACAAACAGCCATAGGGGCCAAGGGGACAGGAAATTATTAGCAAAGCCTGAGATGCAACACGGTGCCTGCATAAATTTTGTTTTAAACTCAGTATTTGGAGGGGAATTAAAAAAAAATCCTTCAAAAAAAATTTCAGTTTTAACATATATTTGGAAACTTTAGTTTATTAACAAAGTCTGAAAGCATTTAGTCTGAAAAGCCAAMAAATAAAAGGCTAAGAGCTCATTAATTCCTCCTCCAGCAAGTCAGGAAGTCTCAGTTTTTAATGGGAGGTAAGGTAAGGAAAACATGCAATTGAACATGGCTCATTAGCGAAACAGAGCCCTCTGGGAAAACTACAGGCATTTGCTTAAGAACAGCATCTAATTAAAACACAGCTGATCTGATACAAAAGGTAAACACTGCTGTTTAGGAGGAAAATGTCTTTAAAAAGCRAATAGTGTCCAGGGGACAGCTACTTTCAGAAGGAATATTTGGCACATTGTAACACAGACACAATAGATGGAAATTTTGGAGAGAAACTGCAATTTCGTAGACAAATAGACAGCACCAGAAAGAAAAATTTGCAAAACTAACAGGGAGAATCATTTGTTTCCTGTCTCAAGAGGCACATAAATGTGTGCCTCTCATATAGGCTGCAAAAATATGTTGTCTGCTGCTGTTATTATAGCTGAGCACCCATTAAAACGTGCAGTTTCACCCAAACATGACAATTATAATTTTGGGTGTCTCTCTGTACAAAAGCCTGGAAAATACTCCAGAATTCCAGGTTACATTTCATTCAATATAAACCACCTTATTTGTAGAAGGAGCAGTGGGTCAGCACACCAAAATACACTGTCACAGCAACACCCTATGCAATGACTAACGACAGAACAGTCACAGCTGAGGAGATGCCAAAGCCACCTGGCACTGGTGGCACACGGAAAGGCCGTGGGAGTGCTCGGAGGGGAGGATCAGGCTGTAATTTGACTAACTAGTGAGACGAGTCAGCAGCATTATGGCTGACTACCACATCCCAGCCTGTTTTCAAACGACAAGATTCAGATTCCATTTATAGGAGTAACAACAGTTACACATACCCTTTAAAACCACTATAAACTGCTTGCAGGCTCTGGAAGTCACCACGTATAACTCAAAGATTTTCATGAAGTCAGTCTGGGTTGGTTCCTTCACAAATCATGCAGCCTCCCATGGTATGAGCCCAGCTGTACCTTTTCAGGTGCGTGCGGTCCCCGCTGTCCGAGCTTGCTACGGAAGAGGTGTCGTAGGAGTGGGTATCCGTGTTGTCAACGTTCAAGAGGAAGGGATCCTCCAGAATGAAAGACTCTTCTTCATCATCGGTCTGAGGGAAGAGAAGCGCCACAGCTAAGCACTCACGTTGTACAGCACCCTAACTGAAACATTAGCACGAGTCCGTCAATAAAACAGAGTAAAGGGGATGCAAGAGATCTTCCCAACTGCAAGGACAGAACTATTTCTTATTTTACTGAACTGTTAGTACAGAAAATCTAGAATTCACAATAATCATAGGAATGCATCACAGGAGGAAGTAAAGTTACTCAGTTTTCCTTCAGCAGGTATGATTTACTCTTATCACACCTTTTTGGAAGAAGTCAGTCATTCCCTACCTGTTTCACCAAGGTGAACAGCACAGGAGCGAGAATAAAGTTTTTATCTTCATTCAACTGAATTTACTTCGGATTGCCTCTCCAGTTTAAGATTTCCAGCATCCATACAGGAGGGGGGCGGACCCATTCCACTGAGGATTATTTCACTAGTTGCTAGCCTACATCAAACTGTTTGGGACACTTATATCTCCATCTTCAATACCACGTTTATTAAGGATCCACCAGGTCTCCCAAGCTGCTCTTCTCTTTAGCACTGGCTTCTCCATAGGTCCCAGTTCGCTCAGCTTGTGAAAGTTTGTTTGTTTCGGAGTTTGTCTCTATTTTGCTGCCCTCCCTCCTTTCCTTCCAAAGATCGTGAACTCTCCCAGCTATTGTAAAGCAAGCACCAAAATAGATGTAAGAGACTGAAATTCAGTTCTCCCCAATAGGATGGTTCCAGTAACACCAACCATTGGGGCAGAAAGCTACTCTAACCACTTATGTGAAGCGGATGAGGGCACTGACATTGGATAAAAYGCAGTCTTGAGACAACTGCCCAAACCCACAGCTGAGCTTGCTTAAATTTGATGGAAACCCTTCACGTTCCAGTCATGGGTGCTCTGATCCAGCGTTACACACCGTACAGCAGCTACCCCACCAAACACACACTTTACCCGCCACGAGATGAGGAAATCACRAAGTTACACAGCGAAACCCCCGGGCACGTCCCGGCACGGCTGCCGCGCCGCGGGGCCACGCACCTCGTTCAGGATGCTCTCCAGCGTCGGCGGGGTGTCCACCTGAGGGATGTCAAACTCCTTGTCGTCGATCTGGGTGACAGAAAGTGCAGAGTGAGCCCAGGCTGCCCGCTTCGCCTTCCAACCCTCTCCCCAACTAAAATTAAAAAGGAACTACGCGCCTGCCCCTTCCAACCTGCTCTCTTACCGAAAAGCCACCTCCGTACGCTAGGGACGGCCTTACACAAAACGTTTTCTCTGCAATACGACGTTAGGAGACAGAACAAGAGGCCCAAGATGCAAAAAGCGGCGTCAGGAGCCGCACGGGGAAGGTGCCTCCCGCCGCAGCCGCGGGCGTCGCGGGCCGCGAGGACCAACGGCCGCTAACGGCTCTAACGGCCGCTCGCCAGCCGGGCCGGGAGCGCGCCGGGGCGGCCTCCGCGGCTCCCTCCGCCGCCAGGGACGTTCCCCGCCTCCCCCCCGCAGCGCTCGGGTCCCCGCGGACGGGCGCGCGGGGCTCGGCACGCACCAGCTCGCTGCGGGAGTCCAGCTCGCGGTCGAGCTCGGCCGCCGCGCTCAGCCGGGCCGCGGGCGGCTCCGGGCCCGTCGGCCGGGCCGGCTCGGCCTGCTCCGCCGCCTCCATGGCGGGGGAAGCAGCAGCGCCGGGACTCGAACCCGCGGCGCTCCCGCCCCCTGCGCAGGCGCAGCCGCGCGCCAGGCGCCGCCTTAAAGCGGGAAGCGGGGTGGGAGGTGCCGCGGGAGCGGGAGGCTGAGGGAGGGAGCGGGTCGGGGACGAGGTGGGCACCGGGCCGGTCTCACGGATACCGTTCCAGGGTGTTCACAGGGAAAGAGCTGGGCAGAAACACACCGGCAGCAGCTCCCTGCAGCTGCAGATCAGACACATGTCGCTCCAGCAATGTTGATCCTTCATCCAACAAAGCAGGACACCACATCTTCCTCTTTCCCAGGGGACAGAGGTTTTGGGGAACATAAACATCTCTTTTTTTTTTTTTTTTTTTTTAATTTTTTAAAATTTTCAGTAGGACTCGTGGCTCCGTGCAGACTTACATGGTGCATTAACCAGACCTGCAAGCCTCCCAGGTGGAAGGATGGGATTCCTGCAAGGGATTAACCTGCTCCAAAGGGCTGCTGGCATGGGGAGCTGAGCCTCTCCTCAGGCATGCACCCCTGCAGGAGCTCAGGGTCTGGCTGCCAGCCCGCGCTCTCCTCCGCGCTCCAAAACCGTCTTTTCCGCTGCCAGCTGCTCCAGGATGGTTTTCTGCAGCAACGGGGCGTTTGCTCCGCGTACAACAGCGACTAGTTGTCCTCCCTGAAGGTCAAGAAACGCAAGTCAGTCACTATGTTCTCAGGAGGGACGCTGCAAACCTCCAGAAGACCACACTGCATGTGGCATTACGCCTACTGTGCGAAGAGCGAAAGACCCGAGGTCTTGCCCACATGGTGAGGACACTCCTCATATAGACCCACTGCTCACCAGACCCTGTGGACACCTGTGTYCCAGTACATTACAGGGATCTCTGTGTGGAAATCATGGATTTTCACAACTGGGGCATTTTCTTAAGGAGGGGAAAAGGCCCTAGAAACACAGCCATTGATCACAGGATGCACAAACCTCCCCATGGACAAAAAAACACCCATCCAACCAACCAACCAAGGCCCAGATCAACTTGACACCCCCTAGCTAGAGTTTTCCTGTAAATTGGTGCCTTCTGCTGTGTTTAATTCTCCTGTGCAGTTAAATTGTTTTCCTTCATCCCTATAGTATATCTTCACTCTCTCTTGTACAGTTATTTATGAATAAACAGAAGGTATATAAGTATATAATAAAGCTAAATTATTGTTGYTTGGTGGCAAGGCAGAAGGGATTAAAGGTAAAGCCCAGATGTATGCTTTTACACATGCAGCACTTGACCATCTGCAGATATTAGCAGACACAGAGCAAACAAAACTGGTGAAAACACAAAAAGAGCATCCAAGGTGACAACAGTTCCCATGGGCAGGTCAAGCTCTATGCAACTACTGCAAAAGTATTTCCACTCACTGTGTAAAACAGAAAGACTGGCTCACATTTTCCTCTGTATTTTTCCAGAGCATCAATGGAATCCACTTCAGCCTGAAAGAAATGAAAGATTTCAATGTAAAGAAAAAAAAAAAAATGAAAAAATGTTTCTAGAAAGCCATTTCTATTCCATGGGAGCACATATACATGAGAATTAAGCATTAAGAACTATCAGGTGTGCTTGGCTTCATTCATCTGAAGGTTTGGCAATTAAAAGTCTGATTTGTTACCATTTTAGCTCCATACAGCAAACAGGTGATTTCAGTCTTAAGCTACCTGCTAATACGAGGGGACTGGATATTTAAAGCAGCACCACATTAGATCTTACCACTGCAAAATGCAGGAGGTCTCTGCCAACTTCATTCCTTACTTTTCGGAAAAGATCCACTACTGTTTTGCACGGACCACACCAGGCTTGAAAAGCATCAACAACTGCAGAAATGGACAGTCCCAAAATCAGTTTACACGCCATGCACCAATAAGTTGGCTTGTGGGCTCTTCCACCTTGCAACCGAATCATTTGGAAGGAGGCTGCCAAAGGCTGTTAGTGCCAGAAAGGGAGGTTGGACGGGATGATCTCTAGAGGTCCCTTCCAACCTCAACCATTCTGTGATTCTGTAAAAGGTTGTAAAAAGGATCCTAAAAACTTTTAAGGATAGAGATCCCTCTCTCTGGAGACCCGTGGTTTGTAGACCCAGGACTGCACCCCTCTTCTGTGAAGGAGATTTTCCTAATGTCCAAACTGAACCACTCAAGCCACAACCTGCCGCTCTTTCCCTCTGTTTGGAATATGGCAGGGAAACTGAGGACCAATTGAACCTCCGTTTTGGCAGTAACTGATTCCTAACTGCTGCAGTCCTCTTAACATTGAACAAAAGCAATCTGTGTTGGCCCAGCCCTTACCAATGAGTCCTTTGAGGCACAGCATTTCTTCCCAAAGCTCCTGGGTGTTGATGCTCATCTACATGAAAATATAAAAACACAGTAAGAGCAACAGCAAGTCATCAGGTTGTGTGGCGTCTCTCAAGAAATGCACATAGAGCTGAATTGAGGGAGTTGGATCTGCAACAGCCCTTAAAACCCCTGGTTCCTCCTGGTGCCCTCTTGCAGCTGCAGCAACAAATCTCCTTCTGGTGGCAGCTAGAAGCTGCAGGAGCTGCTGGCAGATGACTGGTCCTTCCCAGGCTGCTGGATGATGGAACTGTGGACTTGGAGGACACACATGCAGCCCTGCGAGGCCGCTGCGCGGTTGTTCCCAAGGGCTTCCGCCCATCARCTGTGCAAAAGCAGCAGCGAGGAGGAGCTCATTCATTCTTAGCTGGCACTTAGAAAGCCCAGATTAACAAAAGACTCCTCAAAAAGTTAGGATCCTATTTGGTTCCTTCTGAAAAGTGAAAATATTAACTATATTTAGTCCTCCCTGGAGCACTAACTCCAGCAAGGCTCGTGCCTACAGCTCCTCTTTCAGAATCATCCTGCAGATCGTGCAGCAGCCTTCCTGCCTCATTGGAAGAGCAGGGAGTTACCCAAACACCTCCAGCTGTTTTCTTGTTYAGCAGGTAACCCCAAACCTCTTTATTTTATTGAGAACACCTGCAGAAGTAGCAATTCAATGATCTCAGGTGCTCCTAGTGCTAGGACCACCCTGGGAGTGTTTCACAGAAGGTTAATGAGGTCAACTGATTTACGATAATCTTTCGTGATAACGAGTTCAACTGATGGACTCCAAGCTGCACCAACACTGCACAAAGYGCTTTGCTAATGTGGATGCCCAGAGGATGCTGAGAGACCTGGCTTCTCTCTAGCATTCCCAGAAATTTTCTAGGACATGGGTTTGCCTCCCACATGAAGCTCKGCTTTCATCTACTCCTGGAAACGTCACCTTTTTGCAGTGACGTTTGGGCACACATCGAGTTGCCAAAAGCGCAAATTCCGCTTGAAGTAACTTCTCCATCAAGCAGGGACATGGTGGGACGTGCAGCAGCAGAGCAGCGTCTCCACCTTGACAGAGGGCCCATCTTTCTCATCCTACACAAACCCTCCCCATTTTTACCCCAAGCTTTACAAAYTTCACAGGGTTACACAGTCCAAAATCACCTGCAGTGTTTTTCTCTCTTGAGAAAACTGAACTTTCTTCAAAACTGARTGCAAGCTCATGATCTACTTCTTTTTTTTCCCTTCTGGTTATTGACTGTGCCAGTTAAGCGCCTGCATCTCATTTTCAATGTGTTTAACCTCAAACTTTTTGGCTTAATGAACTGCCCTCAGAAATGCTTTCCTGATGCAGGTAGTTATCAAATCACCTCTATGATGTAAGCAGAGGAAAACCCCTCTGCATGGCCCTGTGAAACACCTTCACAGGCTGAAGGTCCTTCAGCCTTCAGACTGCTCTTGTATCTCAAGCTTTCTCCAAGTGAGATACACYTGATGTGTAACTGTCTGACCTTGTCAGGTATATCCCATGACAGCCACCCAATATTCAGGGGCGAGCACCCCGTTTGCTACATCCAAATGTCCTCTGAACACACCTCCTGTGAACACGGGTGCATTTTGATTGCTGAAAGCAGCAATCTGACCCCAGGATGGATGCAGATCAACCTGCATCCTAGAAGCAAACTCCGCTGCCCCGGAGGAAACGTTGCTTTGGGGACCAGTTTGACTTGCCAGCTCTTCCCATCCACCTTTAGAAGTGCTTTTCCAGCAGTGGGACCTCCCAGTAGAGCCTGGCAGGCAGAGATTCCCCAGCACCCAGGACTCTCAGCCTGTGGGATGCCCTAAAAGGCGCTTCTACCCCAGCAGGCTCCTACTGACCTGCAGCACCAGCTCCTTCCTCTTTGCAGCCATCTGGCAGCAGCAGCCGCGGGGTCCTGGTCGCTCTGGCGAGTCCGGACGCGCCGGCTGGAACCGAGMGGCTCCGGCAGCCCAGGCAACGCGGGCGGAGCGGCCKCCGGCCCCGCTCCCCTTCCCGGAGCCTCGCGAGGCCCTTCCGGGGCGCGGAAAGCGCTGCCGGCCCCAGGGACAGCGGTGCCCAATCCCCGTGCGCACACGGAGGCTTCTCCAGGCCCTGGGGCCAAGGACCTGAATGGGCTGCCCAGCACCCCCAGCAGCAGCAGCCGGCACTGGGAGCACAGCATGAGTCGGCTCTGCCTTGGGAATCCCTGGAATTCCCTTCCCACCAGGCACCCGCCACCATTTACCTTCCATGTCCACGTCCTTCTCCTCACGAATCCGCTCYCTGGCACCGGCTGCTGCAGGAAAGACATAGGCTGCCTGTCCATCCCCTTCTGTGGCACAGTTGGGATTACACACACAAAATATACATTCAAAAGCTACAATAGCTGGTGTTTCGTAAAGAGAAGCCTTCAGTGAAGTTCTCACGATCTTCAGCGTAACTCATGTTTTGGGTGTTCATCCCACCCCAAGCTCACGTGTTTTCCGAGTGCTGGGGAATCCCACCAGCATTTCTTCAAGCAGTGCCTCTCCGCCCTGGTTATTCTGCTTCAGTCCAGCTGCATTTCTGAGCTGCAGCAGCTGCTGCGAGGCTGAAGCTTTAGCCTCAGGACTAGAACTCCGACAGGCTGARAAGCACCATAAGTAGCTATGAAACAAGTGCCTAAAGAATCCAAAAAGAGCAGATGTTTCCCCAAGAACACAGCGACACAAGGTGCTTTTGGGCAGGTCAGAGTTTCTTTTGCTACGTGATGTGGACCCGTGGTCAGAAACACAGCCMAATTCTACATGATATTTGCGCAGGAGAAATGACATTTGGTGTAGACAGGGGTGAGCAACCAGTGCACCWGCTCTCTGGAGCCAAGGTGATCTCTTTTGGACATGCGTAACCTTTGACAGAAAAGCTAATTACCGAATTAAGAGATAAAGAGGGGAGCTAATTACCCAAACTGCTTAGCATTGGTTTGCAAAAAGAGAAATGGTACAAGAAGAGAAGAAATCCTGATGGTCTGGTATCCTGGTCCAGACCAGTCATATTTGCTTTTCTTCTGAAGGCACAAGATGCCTCTAGCCAAGTAAAGCTCACAAAGACTTGATCAGGCAGCAAACAAGCCCRTTCCCAGCATAAATCTCAGCTGAGAAACTCTCAGTCTGTACAGAAGATGGCACAAAGAAATGTCTCCATGAAGCTCAGTAAAGCCTAGATGTTCTGGTAAAGTTCTTTTTATTTACAGTATTCACTTTCTTCTTTTTTTACATACCTATAGTAACATCAGAAATTATTCACAAAGCTTAAGTGAAAGTAAAAACACTCTCATCCAGACTGTCCTATCAGTGTAATATCCATGGAAAACGTCAGCTATTCCCTTGCAGCAGATTGTCTGAGCATTCATTTTATTTTTTTCCCCAGTAGATTTTGGAGAAACGACCTCAAAAGGAGCAGACAGGAATTTACTCACCTTTCTCCGAGCACTTGAGGCACCAAAGTTTTATACGATCCAATTCAGACTCGATTTCAGATACGTGAATGGGAAGGAGACGGGCAGCACCTTGAGCTCCCGAGGTCGGTCGTGGGAGCGCGGGGTTAGCAGCCACGTGCAGGCTATAAGGCAGCTTTACCTCTCTGGCATTTGCCCCAGAAGCCTTTCCTCAGTTCATGTAAAAGTTGATTAATTTTATACAACTTCACTTCTGAGGACTGCCATTTATCAAGTCCTCGCTAATTTTCACTTCCCTTTTTGCTCAGCCCCTAAAAATCCATCATGAAAAGAACTTGCAGAAGGGCATTAAAAAATGGCCAGTCACTTACTGCAGTGCCTGGCGGGGGGAAAARGTGTCAGGTGCTCACTTTTATTTATCTTTCAAGATTGGAAGAAGTTACATTAAATGTATATATTCTCCTTTGCAACCAAGTGATAACAGTTATCTGATACAATAGAACATTCAAATTCCAGGCCAAAATGTGGTCACATTTTCTGACGCAAATAGTTACCTCTGAAATAAAGTAAGGCTGTCACAATTTGACCCCTGAATCAGCAAGGAACGGTTAAGATGCTATCAAAATTGGTTAGCAAAGTTACAGACCTCTCTTCTAGCTGTAGCCTTCCTGAAGTCAGTGTAACAGAAGAAAGATTTGGTTTTAAGACATCGGCTGCAACCCTTAGTGTGCCCGTTAGTGCTAGGTAAATATAGTGTCTGGAGACTGGGACTATTAAAACTCTGCTCTAAACTGACATCCAAAAGACGACAAGGGAAGAATGAACAAACTCTGCACTGTGTGAAAGAGCTCCCTGCAGCTCTCCCTTGTTCCTAGGCATATTTGACTCCCTGGCACCTTCCTTGAACCCTGCACGGTCTTCCTCATTTGTAGCCACAGTTTTTCCTCCAGGATTGCAGGCACGAGTTCTGGAACRTGAGCTAGGGACAAGCTCTGGACACCCTAAGCTTCTGAATCCAGTAAAACCCCATCTTGATTATCCACGTGTCCAAGTCCATGCACGAGCATGTATGTGCACACACACATACAAGTTGCAGCAACATTACTGAGCAAAACTCTAGCATTTTTTCCTCCTTTCCCCAACCTAATTGCACCCAGCTGAAATATTTCTACTATGGAAATACTTTGTGAGTTACTTCACCTGGACATGATGCAAAGCCAGAACAGCCCCTTCACCACCACTTGTCGGGTCCTTCTGGTCTCTTGCAAGCATAAATTTTGCAACATACTCTTTGCCCTATCAATCTTAGTGATACTTAACATGATGATTAACAGATACAGAAAAACAGCTACTCCTCCAGCAAGTATCCGAGCAAGTTCTTGTCTTCTGAAGCAAGAGGCACAGGCCTGCTGAGATTGCAGCCGCTTGCTCCCTTCCAGAAAGGCCAGTCACACTAACTCAAGTACAGCCCTTACCTCCAAAAAGCAGAGAACCCCCAAACCAGCCAGCTGAGCCAGGCTCTGTCATCAGGACCTGCTGACCTCGCGTGGCAGGAAAATGCTCACTGTAAATC